GGACTTTCAGATTCAGATGCTAGGATTTTTATAAATGAAAGAAAGAAAATCCAACATGGAAAGAAACAGGAATAGAGAATACTCCCCCGAGTGGCTACACATCTTCATTGTAAGCAATAATCTCAGTGTGCAACTATTGAGACTTGAGTTATTTACATGTCTCTAATCCTCTTACCTTCTAATCAAGAACATTCCAGTAGCTTTGCACTTAGATTCCCAACTGCATCATACATTCAGAAATCATTTCTTTGTCAGTGCTGTATTGGTAACTTATAATCACCTAGAGATTAAAGAAATATTCATTTTTCTTTATCCTAATATAGTTTATCTTTACAAAAGTTGCATTTTTAAAGTTTTCCATGCTAATTCCTTTACATAATTAATAGTAATTTAAAATGAAATGGCAATTAAAAGAAATAATCTATGTTTGCACATGGTTTACTGGTCTTCTCTGACTTAATTAGGTCTTACTTCACTACTCAAAAGAGGCAACTATGGTTTGTGGATTTTTTCATATATATTTTTTCTGCTCTTCGTGCTTATCTCTGAGCAATTTCATCATTTATTAATAATGCAAGAATTAGGTGAATAGGATAGATAAAGGGATGTAAAAATTGCAATTATAAAACTTTTTCTTGGGAAAAAACTTATCTCAGTAAAGGCTATGTTTTAAGAGCTGACTACCAAAAAAACCCACTTGATATGAAATAAGATGACAAGTAGATTTAGGCTGATCATGTATTTATTCATTGAGAAATACTGAATAATTGTGATGAAATACTCTGTGGAAAAGTGACATTAACGTATTTAAAGTCATACAAATACTAATTCTTAGTGATAAAGTCTCCATATTCCTAAGTCTTAAATTTATTTTAGATAATTAGTCACATATGAATTTGGTAATTAAATAAGCATGTCTTTTTCTTTTTTATTAAATATTTTTTAGTTGGACACAATATCTTTATTTTTATGTGGTGCTGAGGATGGAACCCAGGGCCTCACATGTGCTAGGCGAGCGCTCTACCACTGAGCCACAACCCCAGTCTCTTTTTTGATTCTAATCAGTACATGCACAATTCTGCACAACTCTATTGATTAGGGGGCATTAAGGGGGAGGTAAGTGGAAAGGCTGGGACAAGGTTAGGTCATGGATGGTTCCAGGGGATTAGGTACTTGGGCCTGTAATGGGCATTGTTGGCTGCCTGACACCCATTGAAACCTCCCAAATTGACCCCAATATTTGTTCCTGTTATCTGTCCCTTCCCTCTTTGCCAATGTACTAAAGGAGAAACTGATCCTGCTCTGAGTTCCAAGGGTGGGCCTATTTTCCAGAGTAACTCCATGTTCTTTCTAGTACAAGGTCCTGGAATCCCGGCCCAAGTGTCAGGTAATTGGCTCAGGAATGAGACAATGAGACACTGAGAGGAAGTTTGCTGAGGGCTTCTGGGAAAAAAAAAATTGCTGATAGAGAGCAACCAGAATTCATGGGTGTTCTTCATCTTGACTTTGTTATCCACATTTAATGAGGCCTGGTTGAGGCGGCTGTTTTCCTGATACTCTGAGATGAAGCCTGGGAAGGGGTATGAAAAACATGGCAGAGGGCAGAACTAGAGGCCTGGCTGAACTGTACCTCACCTCTTCTTGCCTAGACCCCATGGGTCTGTTAACCATGAATATTTTGAGTTTTGAGCAATTTTTACTTGGGAGTTCTGTTTCTGAAAGCCAAAGCATTTTAACCTATGATATCCCAATTTATATTTCCTTAATGTTATTTTTATTTTTAAACTTTAAGGTTTGGTATGTTTGATAATAAAAATAATCAAGCTCATTGTAGAGAACAAAGAAAACATTGAACGAAACCATGCAAATTCCATTATCTCTTGAAAACTATTACCGATGTTTTAAACTAGTCTTCTTTTTGTATCAAACTTTACAAGTATAATTTACATGTATAATTTTAAAGAAACTCACAACCTAGTGGGAAATAGAAACAAATAAAAATTCAATAGATGAATATCTGGGAATGTGGAAGGTTGTCATTTTAACTGTATCCACTGTCAGTGTTGCTAATAATGATATATCCTAACTCCACACCCAGGAACAAATCATCAAAGATTTTAAGTCAAAAACTATTGAAGTACAATACACTTTAAAATAGATGTCTTATATTGATTATCTTGAAAGTACACACATAATGGGTTCAGTATTCATCAGCGTTCATGAAAATTCCTGGAACAGAGCTTTATTAGGATGAAAGTTATATTGTTATGCCAATCCCTTCAGTTTTGAATGTTTTCAAATTCTCATTGTTTTTTTCTGACCCGTGAGTTCACAGGAAGAACAGAAATGTGGGGACTTACTAGTTGTCTTTTGGTTATTGGCATCTAATTTAATTGCAGACTGGTCAGAGATTGCAGTTGCTATAGCAATTCTTAGATGGAGACTTGCTTTAGGGCCCAGTATGTTTGACTTTTGAAAATATGTCATATATTCTTGGAAGGAATGTGTATTCTATAGTTTTTAGGCAATATTCTATACATAACCACTACATTCAGCTTAGTAATTCATGTTATTAATTCTCCTAGTCCTTTAAAAAATTTTTTTTGGTCCTTTTGACCTACGTCTTAGTTTCCTGTGGTTTTTGTAAGAAGTTACTACAAACAGATGGCTTAAAACAGAAGAAATGTATTCTCTTGCAGTTCTAGAAGCTAGATTTTTAAGTCAAAAACTATTGAAGTATAATACACTTTAAAATTGAAATTAAGGTGTTGGCAGGTTTGCACTCCCTCAGGAGGGTCTAGAGAATTCATTCTTTGCCTGTTTAAGCTTTGAGTGGCTGTTGACATTCCTTGACTGTGGCTACATTACTCCAATCCCTGCTTTTGCGTCCCATTACTGCCTCCTCTTTCCCATGTTTTGTATACCTAACAAATCTCCCTCTGCCTTTTTCTTTTAAGGACCATTTTCATTGGTTTTATGGCCCACTGGGATAATCCAGGATGATTTCCACGTATCAAGGACTTAATTACATTTGCAAAAATTCTTTTCCCCAATATGCTCACATTCACAAGTTCCAGGGATCAAGACATGGAACCATATTTTGTGGGGCTATTTTCAACCTGCTGCAATCTTAGATATATGTATAAAATCACCTACTCTGATAGCAGGTTTTTCTTTTTTCTTGTACTTATGTCAAATTTTTGCTTTGTATGTTTTGTTGCTGTGATATGAGAGATATAATGTTCATATCTTCCCTGTGCATTGGATTTTTTATATTTTATCTGTGTATTGGAACTCTATCTTTGGACCACTCCACCCATCATCTATCCAGAAAGAGTCTATTGATGACAAAACTATGAGTTGTTTATCTTAAAAAGATATGATTTAGCTTCTTTTTCCATTTTTAAAACATTGGGTCTGTGATTCTAAGTTTATGTTTTCTTATTATTTCATTTAAATCTCTTCTACTTAATTTTTTAAAAAAATTCCCAAATGATCCAAGGTCAGAGAATTAAAACATATGCAGCTGAAAAAAGAAAAAAGTCGCTGGGCGCGTGCTGGCACACGCCTGTAATCCCAGGGGCTCACATGGCGGAGGCTGGAGGATGGCAAGTTCAAAGTCAGCTTCAGCAAAACCGAGGCGCTAAGTGACTCAGTGAGACACTGTCTCTAAATAAAATACAAAATAGGGCTGAAGATGTGGCTCAGCGGTTGAGTGCCCCTGAGTTCAAACCCCGGTACCAAAAAAAAAAAAAAAAAAAAAAAAAATCATTGTCTTAAATTAAACCATTCCAAAATGATTGGTAAAAAAAATTCCATTAGGGGCTGGGGTTGTGGCTCAGAGGTAGAGCGCTCGCCTAGTACCCGCGAGGACCTGGGTTGGATCCTCAGCACCACATAAAAATAAATAAAGGTACTGTGTACAACTAAAAAATAATATTAAAAAAGTTCCATTAAGCATAGTTCAGAACAAAGTGGGGAAATATTCATAGGGAAACTGAAATGAAAGTAGATACTTAAATACATCATAAGTAACAACTTGCTGAAGCAGTTCTTTGACACTAATAACTTATCTTGTGGAAGTAGACTCATTATCTACTAAATAGGGTTTTCCTAGACAACGTCCTTATTCCATCAGTGGCTAGACTAAGCTCCACAAGGAAAAAAAAAGTATAAAACATATTCTCAATTACTACCACTATTGCTATAATTTTGAGAATGCAATTTTACTGTGAGCAATGAAGGAAATTAGATTCACGTAATTTTCGTCCGTGGGCCTCAAGACACACCTCCAGGTGATAGTTTTGTGGAGCAGTGCAGGAAGTTTGGCGTTAAAAAAAAAATGCGTCCGCAGCGCAGAAGAGTTAAAGAACTGGACGACACGCCCACGGGGCGAGGGAGCGGCTCAGCCGAGTTCAATCCCTGGCAGCAACACCAAAACGCATCAATATCTCGAACGCATTAATTTTCTCGCCTCCCTGCAGTGATTCGGTTTTCATTCTCGCTTTTGGGTCTCCAAGGTTGAGGAATGATCCGTGAGCAGTCCGCACAAGCCGTCCGACACGTTTATAACCTGCACCCTGAAGCTTCTCGTGGCCTCACACCACTGTCTCCACTAAGGCCGCGGCTGCGAGGCACTCCAAGGTACTAAGGTCTGGGAGACGCAAGTGGGCGTAGGAAAACCGCCAAGCACTCGGGCTACCGCAAAGACGTCGGCTTGGCTCTAGTCTTCCAATGCCTTTCGGATCCTGGTCGTCCTGGTAACCATACTGCGACCGCGCATGCGCGGGCCAAACTCCCTTATCACGTGAGGCCGGCCCGGGGGCGGGGTGGGCGAGGCTCACCGGCACCCGTCGCCCCACCCCTCTCAGAGCCCCGCCGAGGCGGGGCGAACCTTCACCTATTGCGTGGGATAGACTCAGCTCCCGCCCCTTTTCGCTCTGCTTTCTCCAAGGCTCTTCACTTGCACCACGTGCCCTTCTGGCCGCTCCCCCAGCGCTCTTTCCAACCGCCTGTTGGAAGCTGCCGTAAAATGGCGTGAGTGGCGCTGCCGCTTTACGGCTGCCTCTCCCTGAAGTAGAGCCCCGGAGCGCCCACCGCCGTCAGCTGTGTCTCTAGGAGCGTCGGCCCGGAGCAGAGCGGGAGACCCGGTGTGGCACTGCTCTTCCAGCTGTGGTTTCCCCGTTCCGGTCCCCGGCGATGTGAGCTCGAGGAGCCTACGGTGCCCCCTGGCCCGGGGGTTGAGGCGGGCGGCAGGTGCCTGTGAGGCGGACGGGTGCTGGGGGACAGCAGGATGGAGGAGAGCATGGAGGAGGAAGAGGTACTAATCTACGAGGCGATGATGGACGACCAGAACCATAACAACTGGGAGGCCGCCGTGGACGGCTTCCGGCAGCCCCCGCCCCCCCCTCCGCCCCCCTCGTCGATGCCAGTCCCCGCTCGAGAGCCTCCGGGGGGCCAGCTGCTGGCCGTGCCCGCCGTCTCCGTGGACAGGAAAGGCCCCAAGGAGGGGCTCCCGCTGGGGCCGGAGGCCAATGGGGTGATCATGATGCTGAAGAGCTGCGACGCGGCCGCCGTGGCCAAGGCGGCCCCCGCCCCCACCCCCGGCTCCACCATCAACATCAACACCTCCACCTCCAAGTTCTGTGAGTCCAGCCTTTCCCCGGCAGCTCGGCTTCTCTCCTCCCCACCCGGACGCCGAATCCACCCCCCTCCTGGAGCAGCCCCGCTTCCTTTGTTCCAGGCCTGGGTCTCCTCTCCCCCCCTCCCGCCCCCTCCCCCTCGGCTGTGCCCGCGGCCAGCGCCTGAGCGGGCCTGGCTTCTTGTGTTACCTGGCCTAGGGAAGCAGCCTGGTACGTACGCCACCCCAAGTTCTGCCACGGACGCCATCCTTATCGCCACTGGCGGTCTGTCAGCATTAGCAAGCTCTTTTCTCATCTGTACCCTCTTAAAGTTTCGCCCTTCGAGGTGAGGGGAAAATAAGCCTGCCTGAGTTTCGTTAGAAGAGGCTTTCAGTCCTTTCTGCAGCCAGAGAGAAAAAAGAAATCTGGCAACTCGTGTTGCTGTGCTTTTAGCCCATCTGTGTACGTTGAACAAGTTAGGGATCGAAAGTTGTCCTATATCTACACCGCATTCTTCCACTTCTCTGTACACTTTGCCTCCTGCTAGGGAAATGTTGTGAGTTGCTTCCTAATGCAGTGGGAGGGGCGACATCCGTTTTGAAGCTAGTGTATAAAATCACTTTCCAGAGCCTTTGCTCATAAAACTAAGCAATTCAGCATGTGTCCAAACGCAAAAGTTTGTTGCATGTTGAACTTTGTTATGTTAGTGATCAGCCTTAACACTCAGTTGCAGGCAGAAAGATTTAAGACCAAAAGTCTGTTTTGTAATCCAGAACTGACCCCAACTAGGATGTATGCTTCATAGGTAGGGAAAGAAAGTGCTTTGGTTTGAGTGTCCCCTGCCCCCGCCTCGGTGGTGGTAGTGCTCCTCGTGCTGGTGGTGGTGAAGAAAATGAATGTGAGCATCACAGCCAGGTTTTCTCTCCTGTTAATGACTGCAAGTTTTAATGGCATCTGGTAAAGCAACTGGAGATTTCATTTCTAGTTACTAATTTTATCAAGCAGTACCATTAATTGTCCACTTAGCTGTGCAGAGAAAATATTTGCTTTGATGCACATATGTAGTCACAACCTTAAACAAAAAAATTCTTATGAGAAGAGCACAAAATCTTAGTTATTTGCCTTCAAGACACTGCTTTAGTGAAAGATTAACATCTGTAATGTTAATCTATTAATGTAGTTTATCTCATTAGTAGACAAAGAAGAAAAACCATGATTTTTTTCCATAAAACCACTTGATGCCATAAAAATCATTTGATAAAATCCAGCACCTATTTATGATAAAAACTCTTAGCAAGCTGGAAGTACAAGGTAACTAGATAAAAGTCATTACCAAAAACATAGGGTACATATATAATAGTTAATGGAAAAAAATTAGATATGTTTACTTTAAGACAAATTAAGGATGTTCCCTGTCACAATTTCAACATGGTAGGAAAGTCCCGGCTAATACTTAAGAGAAAAAGTATAAAGTCTGGAAGGGAAGTGATAAAACCAATAACTTGCAGATAATTTAATCAGTTACCAAGAAAAACCATTAAATTAGAGAAACAGAACTAGTAGGAGTTTATAGTTTTGTTACTACTCTTGTATATATCTACTTCTGACTACCTTTACTAGTTTGTGTAAATGCTATTTTTGTAGGGTGATGATGATCAACAGTCCTTCTAAAGTCTCTAGGAAGTAACTCAATACATGAAATCTTTAAGGAAAAACTTTAATTAGGAATTAGAGGAGGGTCTAAATAAATTGTATAAGTTTCCATGTTCTTGGGTCAAATTGGATATTATAAGAATGTCAGTTCTCTCCAATTTAATTTAGAGATTCAGTTTAAGTGCTTTCAAAATATTTGGTTTGACAAACTCGTTTACCTAAAACCTCAAATTTACATGGTAGATGGAATAAAGATTGTAAATAACTAAATCAGTCTTAAAGATTTGTTTTGTTGGGTGGGCTTGTGTTATCAGAAGTTAAGATAATATTTCAGAGCTATAGTAATAACAACTGGTGTTAAGTGTAAGAACAGAAATATAGACCCAGGGAACAAATTAGAGAGCAGAGAATTACCTATTTATATTTGGGAACTTAAGATAACGGTGGCATTATAAATCACTAGTTAAAGAAGTCATAGGTTTTTGAATGGCTCAGTATATAGATAAAAAACCAAATGACAACATAAATAGGATGGACTCTGAATGAATTAAAGACCCAAATGTGGAAAGAACTACAAAGTTAAGAGGAACCGTTGAAGAAGCTCTTTCCATAGGGACAGGGGAGGACTTCTTAAAGATTCAAAAGCTTACACAGATGAAAAATCAGTGGCTTTGGTTGTACAAAAATTAAGAATTTTCATTTATTAAAAGACAGATGAAAGAATGAGAGAAGATATTTAAAGAGCCTAAAATTGGTAAGGGATTTGACTAGATTAAAGAACTGTACATCAATAGTAAGAGGGCAGCTACATCTAAAAAGTAGGCAAAGGATATTGGTAAGTAGTTTACAAAATAGAACATCTTAAGAATAAGAAGGGATGAAGGTATTACTGATCTGAGACATGCAAATTAAAACAGTAATGGAATGTCTTTTTTTCACCTATTAGATTGACATATTAAAAAGCTAGGTAGTGCTAGTGTAGGTGGGGACATGGGGATACATGAAAACTCATACCTGTGGGTAGACAGTTTTAGTGGACTTGTGTGCTTATGAGATGTTCAAAGTCTCTGTGGACCAGATAGTGAAAAATAGCCCAAGTGTTGTTGATGTGGTCCTGAACCAAAACAGTGATGGAGAAAACAATTGTTGGTGTTTTTTTGAAATAGGAAACTTGATGAATATACACTGAGTGCTGGGGATGGTTGGTTTCTCTCAGTGATCAGGCCATATCTGGAAGAGCAACTGCAATTGAAGTCACTACTAGGTGTGATTTACCATAATATAGTCATTCTCCAAGATTTATCTCCTGCTCAGGCCAGATAGACTGGTGAAATTGGAATGTCATAACAATCACCATCAAGTCTTTGAAGTTGGTAGTATTCTCTATTGTTCCCACACAGATGTACTGTTTGTCACTGTGGGGTTTGTTAGTTTTCACAGGATGGGGCACACATTGGGTCATTGGCCCTTCCTCGACTATAGCCCTACCTCCAGGGAGCAGTTAACCTGTGTGTTCAGGAACTGAGGAAATTATAGGGTGGAACCTTGGATCCATTGGGCCCCTCATGAGATGGATTGAAGCCAAAATGCCATTTATCTTGTGATGTCCATAAGTCCCTGATCTTACTGGTTTACTATAGTGACATGCTGGTCCCTGAGGGTTAGAGCCAGTGTTCTGTAATCCTTGAAAAATCTGAGTGATTTCCATTCCCAACTGCACTGTCTCTCTAACAGATAGCCATGTGTTCCACTGGAACAGGCTAGAAGGAAGGCTTAGGTATGTTTTTGAAGCAGTTTTGGAATTCATTCTCTCCTTTGTTCCAGGGGTTCTATGTCTGAACAGGTTCAATCTGGGTATTAGGTGAGATTTCTCATGGCTCTCCATTGTGGTCACTCAAGTGAGACCTTTGTTATATTTAAAGAGTATCCAGCTCTCATTATACAGATCAAGTAACATCTTGGTATACTGCCTGCTTATTTTTTTTTTAAGACACCATAATTAGCTGCCACTAGAGATCCAAGCCATCCTGATAATCACTCTTGACCCTGCTACTCATTAAAATAATCATGCTTACTTTATAATCTGGGAGTTATTTCTACTTATCTTTTGTCATTATGGAAATTGAACTATCCCATTGAAATCAGAGAGCCCTCTTTAGTGGCAGTTTTGCTCATCTTTACCCAGAACTACAAAGAACAGCTACCCCCCACCCCATCCCTATATTAGTGCCTCCCTCACCAATATTCTTCTCAATTCCTTAGTGAAGTCCTTCTCAGAACATAGTTTGTTGGGGTGGGGTGAGGGGGTCAGATAGGATAAATACACTTTATAATTCCGGTCATTCATAAGTCTGGATTCCTTCTCTTACATACTAAGGAATTTCTGATGTCCTAATCTCCTCTTCCCTACCTCTTTTTTCTTCTCCCTCATTTTCTTCCTTGTCTGTTTCTTCTCCCTCCTCCTTAGTAAAGTGTACCCATTTTAGGTGAGTAGTTTGAATTTTAACTCATGTTTCTGGTCTGAGATTTGATTTTTCTCTACTTGCAAGTTAAAAGCTAGCCTGTTACTGTTATTACTAGATGCTGACTGAAGTGGGAGATTTCCTGGGTTGGAGATAAGGAATGTATTACAGCACAGCAAACAACATAAGAATCACCATATTTTCTTAAGTTCCCCTTCCTTCCAAATTCCACAAGGATGATACATTAGTACTATGGATGCTTTTTTTCAGTGTGTGTTTCACAGCTGAAGAACACTGAATTTGGGGGAATCCACTGCTTTTATAGAAAGCCGAAAGCAAATCAGCTGTTTGTTTAGCGGGGAGACTGCCTCATCTTTCAAGGTTACCAAATACAGAATAGCAAAGGTTTAGGAAGGGTTGCTCAGGGCCTTGTAGTCTTGGCACACTGAGCCCTGCAGGGGAATGCATGAGGCCCAAGGAGGACTTTGCTTCCTACGGTAACCACTGCATTAATCAAGAGATGACTTATTTCACCACTCTAAAATACACCTTATGCTTCTTTGCAGTTAGTAACCCTGCCTTCACCCCAGCCACCTACTGATCTGCTCTCTGTAACTAGAGGATTTTGTAAGTGTAATCATACAATTTTTATTATTTTGTGTTTGACTTCTTTCCCTCATTCTGTTTTTGAGATATTCCATGTTCTTGCATGTATCAATTATTTATTCCCTTTTATAGCTATATCTATCATACATTGTTCATTCATCTATTCATCATTTGAGTTGTCTTCAGTTTTGGCTATTTTGCATAAAGCTGCTAGGTTTGTATGAAGATAGATTGTCAAATAAGAATCTACAAGTGGAATTTCTTGGTATAATGTTGGCTATTTTTTAACTTTGTGAGAAACTG